TTCCAACCATTCATCCTACAGCATCCAGTAAAACCATACATTCCTATAGCATTTAGTCTATCTATTAATTCATTCTATAGCATCAATATTCCAACCATTCTTCCTACAGCATCCAGTAAAACCATACATTCCTATAGCATTTATTCTATCTATTAATTCATTCTATAGCATAAATATTCCAACCATTCATCCTACAGCATCCAGTAAAACCATACATTCCTATAGCATTTATTCTATCTATTAATTCATTCTATAGCATCAATATTCCAACCATTCATCCTACAGCATCCAGTAAAAACATACATTCCATAACATCTAATTTTTAAAGATTATAAAACGTTTTTCAATGTTTGGAATAGTAGGATATATATTAGTAACAATTTTAGCCATTTTTAATCGTACAAAATTGTTCGCTAACTTTTCTGTTTTTAAAAGGAAAAATTGTCAAACAAAATTTTCTAAATAAATTTTTCAATCTTGACCCTTTTGATACCTTCCCTGTGGTCCTGTGGGTTGACACAATAAGTTAGGACCCTCTGGTTCGACCGTTTAGACGTTTATTGGATACAGACAGACAACGAGACAATATTTATCAAGTATGTAAAATGGAGAACCAAGTGGTTAAACGTTTTCTCATATAAAAGGAAACATTGTTTGGATATAAAAAGAAAAGAAGAAGGATAAAAAGCGTATTAGTATTAAATATTATAAGGCTCCAGTGCTCCAGTAGGGAATCATCTCTGGAAGGGAATGATGGTTCTATGCTCCGGGTATAAAGCTATACTGTAAACGATAATTCGGTTCCGGTTTGTAGGTTATATACAAATGATTCAAACGTCCTTAAATAGAAGTATTTATCCTGCAACCTTATATAAAGAAAGAAAGAGGAAGATGATGGGACGGGACGGGAGTGGAGGGGGGGGGGGGGGTACAAATTTGCACATTACTTTGCTTAGTTTTTTATTTTGATAAAGTTTCATGAGTTCAAAGATTTTACGTAAACTCCTGGAAAGAACGATATTCAAGTAAGTGTATGATTAACATGTGTTCATCCATTTCATCGTTCTCAAGGATACACCAGACAACATTTCTTTCATCATGTGAACTATTATTAAGATCCTTCCCGTCCTTAATTAACATTTCATAATATCCGGTCCTATTCCATCTCCACCTCTAACTAATATAACCTCAGCTAACCTGTAACCTATCTCTCTCCCCGAGTACTTCCTCTTTCTTACTTTTACTTTTCTCCATCTTTCACTCTATTCCATCATTTACTCTAGCAATTTTCCACTCCTATGCGTACTCCATCAATCTTCCACTCCTATCTACTCCATCAATCATCCCCTCCTTTATAATCCTATAAGCTTCCACTCCATATCTACTCCATTAATCTTTCACTCCTATCTAATCTTAATATCTTCTAATTTTTCCACTCCATCATGTACTCCCTCTAATCTTCAAATCAAACCCATTCCTTTAAGCATTTATCCAGTTTTTTTTCTTCCGCCTCTTTTCCAAATACTACATAATTCTCTGTAATATACTCCCCCCCTCCCCTCCCCAAACTGTTAAACAAAGACCAATGTTTATCAGTGTACGGATGAAAGGCGTGATAGAACCATTAAAGATTTCCTTGAACTTCCGACATCGACATTTTACCCCTTTATCCGCCCTGTTATCTGTAGACTGTAGTTCATTCATCCATACTCCCTTTCATCCCTTATTTACCCTATCATTCGTAGTTCATTCATCCATACTCCCTTTTACCCCTTATTTACCCTATCATTCGTAGTTCATTCATCCATACTCCCTTTCATCCCTTATTTATCCTATCATTCGTAGTTCATTCATCCATACTCCCTTTCACCCCTTATTTACCCTATCATTCGTAGTTCATTCATCCATACTCCCTTTCACCCCTTATTTACCCTATCATTTGCAGTTCATTCATCCATACTCCCTTTCACCCCTTATTTATCCTATCATTCGTGGTTCATTCATCCATATTCCCTTTCACCCCTTATTTACCCTATCATTCGTAGTTCATTCATCCATACTCCCTTTCACACCTTATTTGTCCTATCATTCGCAGTTCATTCATCCACACTCCCTTTCACCCCTTATTTATCCTATCATTCGTAGTTCATTCATCCATACTCCCTTTCACCCCTTATTTATCCTATCATTCGTAGTTCATTCATCCATACTCCCTTTCACCCCTTATTTATCCTATCATTCGTGGTTCATTCATTTATATATTCATTTATACTGATCTTACTTGGTATACTTGTCTGCTCACTACAACTTCTCTACATTTCTTTTTAACCCTCCCCCGGCCCCCCCCTCGGCCCCGGGTTCCTACAAACCTGGGATGAATAATTTTTTCAATAACTTCTTATTCCGGCTAAAGTTTGATGATGTCCCAGGTTAAAGTAGACTGTTATCTATATCCATAGCATGACGGAAGATGTTAAGAAATTCAATCATGAGAAGCAGAACCATGAAGAAAAATCTACGTGCTCCGGGGATAATGACGAAGAGAAATGGAGAAAATAAGAAAGAGAAAATAGATTAAAATATGATTGAAGAGTAATTACTACACCCAAAACTAAGAAATCTATCTGATTTTAAAAAGTCATGCTTTCAATCAACATTTTTTTTTCTTCAATCAACAGTTGTTTAATATTTTCTAAGTTATAGAAATTGACAATAAGCAAACGAATCGAAATATTAAAAAATACAATAAAAACGACCATTTTTAATAAGAAGGAAACCATTTTTATTCTAATGAAAAGGTCCGAATTGCTAAAGTATTATTGGTGTGAGCTGAAAATGGTAGTTTTAAGAAGAGGGAGAAAAAAGTGGAAAAATGTTTGATGAAAGATTGGTGTTATTATTCCGTGAAAATCTAAACATTTTGATTGTATTCAAAGAAAGGGGTTGCAGGACAGCTCACTGGTTTGTGTTTACAAAGATTTATATCTCCAAAACAAAAACTGAATTTCTTCGAATTCCTTTTTCTAAAGATACGGTCACATAGCAATATTATCCTGTTATCCCGGGATCCCTTGCAAAAAAAATGAAGACAAATACGCTAATATGTCAAGATAATGAGAATAAACAAAGGCTTGACCATGAAGCAGGAAATTAGCTTGAATGTACAATAATCATCTCGCAGAGGGCATTCAGGGAATTTTAAACAATAAAACTTGCGTCCAACTGAGAAATAGCGTCATATAATAACAAGAAAACAAGAAAATCATGGCATAAATTTACTTACCCTAGCTCAGGGTGATCAATAATCTCTTCCTTCCGAGTAGTTTCCAGAACCTTGATCAGGGTTTCCTTGGGCCTCCTGGTTGTTATTTTAGGTTGCTCCGTTACAGAGGCCTGTGTTTCTAGGGTTGAATCCTCTACTCCTTCGGTACTAGTTCTAACCCCTCCCTCATCAAGCGGGGTGGTTAGACTATCTTCAACCCTGCCTAGGGTTGGAATAATCACCTCTTTATCCCGTCCGAAAGGTGTTGTATCCCTGCTCCGACCTCTACTGGAGTCTAAAGGTCCGTCCCGTCCTAAACCTCGTGTAGTTTGCCTGGTTGATGCTGAAGTGGTTTCTACTGCTGGAGTGCGTTGTGTGTGTAAAGAGGAGAACCGCTGTCTCCCCCTCGCAGCAGATATTCCACGTTCTCCCTGTGTCGTGGTTTCCTGGAGGGAGGGACTGTTCGTCGAAACCATTCCTGGGCTAGATTCAGAGACAATCGAGAGCGGACGGTTTGTGCTGGAAAAGGCCGTAAACGGTGGTCTGACCGGCAGGGATGGAACAGCTGGGATAGGTTCAGGAAGAATATTCTGAACTGCTGCTATAAGAGAGGATGAGCGGGGTTCCTCCTCAACTGTACCTCTGAAAACCTCCGACTGAAGAGCCCGGTGTGGAAAAGAATTCCTTTGCGGATCCCGAATATGTCGTGAAAGATCGGGTAAACTTTTCACGATCACGGTTTCGGAGGAATCAGGTTCCGGGTCTCCCTGCCAGAGCTGTCTCCGGGACAGCATAAACCTTACATCTGGAGGAGGGCGTGGAGGGGAGGAGTACGACAAGGAAGTGGAGGGGTGGAGGTGGGAAGGAGGTATTGAAGGTTGGGAGGAAGAAGATGAATGATATGATGAGGACGGGTGTTGGTTGGAGGAGGAAAATTGAGGAATGGGATGGGATGAAATAAAGGACGGAGCTGGGTAAACCATAGATTGAATGGATTGAGGAAAAGTTGCAGATATAGAGGTGTGGCTGTTAAGCCCAGATTGTCGAGCTGGCCTGACATTTCCCAGGGGGCGGGCTGGTCTAGCATTACCCTGGGGATTAAGCTGTCTGGAGGAGGTGGAGGGCGGGGCGGAGAGAGAGGCGCCCCGACGTTTGAATGGATTTCCAAACCTGAAACAGAACTCATGGTTATCATGAACCAAGGATAAAGTTTAGAAAATACTAAAAATCTATGATTAGTAGAAGATAAGAAATGTTGGCACAGTCTGCCGGACTATCTAGAAATTTTAAGATTTATAATTTTCAATGAATGAAATGAATGCAACACAAGGAACAAGGACATTTTTAATTTCCCACACAGACATACATATTTAACACTCACGTATAATACCTAGAGCTATACATAACTACCCTAGCGTACTTTTAGTGGTGAAAGAGAACAATAATAAAGGTAAAATAAACGATATCAAGAAACATGCGGTTATAGAGTCTCATGGAAGAAATTCATTAAACTTTTATTTACTCACTTAACCTTTACTTAACTTAGCTTAGCAATTACTCACTTAACCTTTACTTACCTTTACACTTACTCACGTAACCTTTACTTATCTTAGCGCAAACTCACTTAACCTTTACTTAACTTTAAACTTACTCACTTAACCTTTGCACACTTTGCACTTACCCACTAAACCTTTACTTACACTTACACTTACTCACTAAACCTTTACTTGCCTTTACGCTTACTCACTCACCCTTTACTTACCTTTACGCTTACTCACTCACCCTTTACTTACCTTTACGCGTACTCACTTAACCTTTACTTATACCTTTACGGTTACTTACTTAACCTTTGCTTACCTTTACGTTTTCTCACTTCACCTTTACTTACCTTTACTTACTCACTTAACCTTTACTTAACTTTGCACTTACTCTCTTAACCTTTACATAACTTTAATTTCTCACTTAACCTTTACTTATCTTTACGCTTACTCTCAGAACCTTTACTTACCTTTACGCTTACTCACTTAACCTTTACTTAACTTATCACTTTCCTTAAATTTCGTTAATTTTGTTGAAAACATTTTTTTCTGCCGCAAATAATAAACTTGGGGCGGAGTAAACAGGAGTAACGTGATGTTCGAAAATGAGATAATTTCAGGATCAGCACTCAGCAGGCTTAAAGGGATAATTCGTCGTTTCTTTACAAGATCTGATTAATTATCCTGAGCTGCTGGGCAGAAATGTAAACAAACAACAGGAATTGAACAGTATTAAAACGTTGAATGTAATCTGTAGAGCTGATCTAAGTTAAATTTGACAGTATACCAAAAGAAGATTGGTGAGACACAATACACATACTGGATGAGGGGCGGGGGGATAGGAAGCTATGGCTCCAATACACATACTAGATGGGGGGGGGGAATAGGAAGCTATGAGACACAATACACATACTGGATGGGAGGGGGAATAGGAACCTATGAGACACAATACACATACTAGATGGGGGGGGATAGGAAGCTATAATCTGGATGGGGGAGGGGAATAGGAAGCTATGGCTTGAAACTATAAACAAATTCAGTTTGAATTCAATGAAAAATTAAGGATGATGAACAGTAAAAGAATTTTTATCTTTCACCCCTCCCCCTTTTCATATTCAATCTCCCCTCCCCCTCCCCTCCCTCCCTCCTCGCAGAAGAACTTTAAATGTTCTCTCCACTCTACTGCCCATTAGTTGAAGTATAATATACTCCCATTTTCAAGTTCCATTCACAAACTACAACTTTACGACTTTTTTCCTACTATAAATCCAACAAGAAATCAGATTTAAGACGATAAAACCTCAAAACCCTCAAGAAAAACTTGATTACAAAGTTTAAACGCTTTTTGGGATTCATTCTAGGCTACAGTCTTATCTTGTCTTGTCTTGTCTTGTCTTTTTTTGTCTTGCCTTGTGTGTCTTTTCTTGTCTTGTCTTGTCCTATGTGTCTTGTCTTGTCTTGTCATTTCATGTTTTAACTATGGTCTGGTTTTGTCTGATATTGTCTGATATATGTTCTGGTCTGAACTATGGTCTGGTTTTAACTATGGTCTGGTTTTAGCTATGGTCTGGTTTTAGCTATGGTCTGATATGATATGGTCTGGTATGGACTATGGTCTGGTCTGGAATATGGTCTGATATAGACTATGGTCTACTATGGTCCTGGATAGTCTGGGCTGATATTGCTTAAAAAGGAAGGTCTGAACTATGGTCTGGTATAGTATGGTCTGGTCTGATCTGGTATAGAATGTTCTGGTCTGGACTAAGGTCTGGTCTTATGTGGAGCGTGCCAAGATATGAGCAGGGGAGATCTAAACTGGAGTTAAAACAAGTTTAGTGATTAAAATCAATTTCTAGGTCTTTTTATTTTTAAGGATGGGCTTGTAACAGATACAAGGGCGGGGGTTGACCTTCACAAGGTTAATGCAGTTTCACCCACTTTTAGACAATTCAGTTCCTTACTAAAAACTAACCAATAAGCTTAATAATCAACAAATTAACATGAATTTAAATCACGAGCAAATTGATCAGCTAACTAGCTAACTATCTAACTTACTGTCATTGTTATTTAAAACCTAATTACATATTTAACAAATATGCTGTCTAAAACTAACTATTTTCTACTAAAACGCCTTAAATATAATAATAAATATTTCAATAATAATCTTAAGATATTAAACTACTTATTTACCTAGCAAGATAACTAACTTACCATTACGCCTCTAAGCTAGCTAACAATGTAAATAACATATTTACTAAGTATTGTAACTATATAACTAACCATCTGTATAGTTTGAACTAAATCCTATTGTATTGAACAGATCGCGCCTGCACGCAACTAATGATCACGCTATTTATAAACCAAGATTAAGTTCTATTAATGTGAACACATGACCATGCACGATAGGGAGTGTGGGGGGGGGGAGAAATTGCGAGAATAAGGTTCGGGGAGGGGGAACGCATGATTATATGGAGGTGGAAACAGTGGAAAAAAATATAGGAAAGTGGGAGGGAAAGTTAAAAAATTGTAAGAAAGAAAGAGAATGGTTTAAGAGGCGGCATTGTGATGAAACCATCAGAAATAGAAGTGGTAGAAGTGGTGGAGAAAGGGGGTTGAAGGAGTGGTAAGAGGAGGGAAAGAAGTGGTTGAGAAAGGGGGTTGAAGGAGTGGTAAGAGAAGGGGTAGAAGTGGTGGAGAAAGGGGGTTGAATGAGTGGTAAGAGGAGGAGTAGAAGTGGTGGAGAAAAATGGTTAAAGGAGTCGAGTGGTAAGAAAAGGGGTAGAAGTGGTAGAGAAAGGTGGTTGAAGGAGTGATAATAGAAGGGGTTAGAGATGGAGAAAAATGGGACGAAAAGTACGGTGGGGGGAAAAGTACGGGGTGGGGGGAAAGATGTTAGATTTTTCTGGTAATCTGGAGCAGAAGCAGAACTGGAACAGTCGAAGAAGAAACTGAGTGAGAAGTATGGAAGGACGAGTTTAAATATAAAATATTTAATCTAGTTTCAAGATTGATTTTAGTGATGGATTGTTCCTGGGTTTCAAGATGGGTTATTGTATATATTCAAGAACTATGGAAATATCACATGGAGTTCGCTGAGCTGAGAGGGGGAATCTTGGTGAGAGGGGGAAATCTTGGTGAGAGGGGGAATCTTGGTGAGAGGAGGAAATCTTGGTGAGAGGGGGAATCTCGGTGAGAGGGGGAATCTTATTCAGATGTGGGATCTAGGTGAGAGGGGGAATCTTTGTGAGAGGGGAATTTTAATTAGGGGGAAATCTTGGTGAGAGGGGGAATCTTGGTGAGAGGGGGAAATTTTGGTGAGAGGGGGAATATCGGTAAGAGAGGGAATATTGGTAAGAGGGGGAAATCTTGGTGAGAGGGGGAATCTTGGTGAGAGGGGGAAACTTTGGTGAACTATGAACTGCAAGTACTCTACAGAAGCTTAGATAGAAGATTATCCTTCGCAATCCTTACCAAATACTCAGCACAGTTTAACCAACATAAGAAGGTTATATTGAAAGGACTATTCAGGGGGTAAAACCTTTAGTTAAATTATCATAATTTCATGAAAGGAAATCAAATATTTTAAAGGCTTGTAAAACTAACTTTGTAATTATTTTATAGAAATTTAATTATTTTAACATTATGAGAAACCTTAGTTTAGTTAACACAATTTTCATTTTACATGCCATGCCATAGGTTTTAGATTTGTCAACCTTTTAAAGTAATATTGCGAGAGCTTCGATTATTAGTGCCCTAGTTAGGGTTTAAGAATTCATTCCGACCATCTTCCTCCAGTTATCTACCTCTGACCATCTACCTCTGACCATCTACCTCTGACCATCTACCACTGACCATCTACCTCTGACCATCTAACTCTGACCATCTAACTCTGACCATCTACCTCTGACCATCTACCCCTGACCATCTAACTCTGACCAGCTACCTCTGACCATCTACCTCTGACCATCTACCTCTGACCATCTACCTCTGACCATCTACCCCTGACCATCTACCCCTGACCATCTACCTCTGACATCTACCTCTGACATCTACCTCTGACCATCTACCTCTGACCATCTACCTCTGACCATCTACCTCTGACCATCTACCACTGACCATCTACCTCTGACCATCTACCACTGACCATCTACCTCTGACCATCTAACTCTGACCATCTACCTCTGACCATCTAACTCTGACCATCTAACTCTGACCATCTACCTTTGACCATCTACCTCCAATCATTTTTGCAAAACCATAAATCTGCAACTATCCTATTCTCAGCTAATTTTAAACTATATAGACCAATCTTAACAAATCTCCGAATATTTCTAATTATTTAAGAAAATCTGTAGCTCTCTACAAATATCTATCTATCTATGCATGTTTAACTTCGTTTTGGTGGATTTTCACACCAAACAATTATCTAGCTAGCTATCTGAATGTAAACTTCATCTACTTTAGAGTTCCTGATACATATGCCAAGTACCAAACTAAACAGTATACATACAGCCCTCATCCATTGTTGTGCCCCTCCTCTCCTCCTCTTCTCCCTCATCCACCCTTCTCCCCTTACCCTAGTTCTTTTCCCTTTTCGATACCTTCATTCCTTTCCCCCCTTTTCGTTTTCTC